TCCTGTCCAGAAGGCCGGACTTTTCTCCAGCGTTATCTCTGTTCTCTTTCGCCATTTTCCACTTCTTAGACCCACCTCAGTCCCCTCCAGTGTGTCTTCTCCTCCTTTTACTCCACTGACATAGCACTCACTAAGGTGCCCATCGACGTGATACTGCTGAATCCAGTGCATGTATTTCTGTCTTTAATTGACCTGTCATCACCTTTCAGCTCTGTTGCCTGCTCCCTCTTGACACTTGTACACACTGCTGATTTTCCTACTGACTTTCAGCCTGTTTCTTTTTGGCCTTCTTTGATGGCTTCTTCTTTACCCAACCACAGAAATTTAGTTTGTCTAGGAAATCTCATTAACATGGCTTTGTTAATGCTGGTGAGTCTCAGTCTTTTATCTCCAGTTTGGATTCTTTCCGAACCCAGTGAATTGCATACTCTGGGGAAGTATGAAGTCTGTGCATATTTCTTAACTCCTCCCTTGCTCAGTTACCAAATCCAGCCTGCAACCAAATGCCTTTTTTGTTTTTTGAGAGAAATCTCGCTCTTGTTCCCCAGGCTTGAGTGCAATGGCTCGATCTCAGCCCACTGCAACCTCCGCCTCCCTGGTTCAAACGATTCTCCTGCCTCTGCCTCCCAAGTAGGTGGGATTAAGACGCCTGCCACCATGCCTGACTAATTTTTGTATTTTTTAGTAGAGACGGGGTTTCACCCTGTTGGCCAGGCTGGTCTCGAGCTCTTGACCTCAGGTGATCTGCCCACCTCAGCCTCCCAAAGTGCTGGGATTACAGGTGTGAGCCACCGCGCCTGGCCCAAATGCTGTTGATTTTATCCACTGACCACTTTCTTCAATCTATCCGCTTCTTTCCATCTGTGTTATTAGTTGAATCCACATAATCCCTTTTCACCAGCATTAATAACTTATTTTGACCTCTTCTAACGTGTTTTCCACCTATAGCTATTGTGGAATAGTCTTCTAAAACTATTTGATCATGTTGTTCCTCTGCTTTAAAAGACTTTCAATTATTTCCCATTGTTCTTGGGAGGATCACACACTTCAGTCCTTTACAAACCCTATGTGATCTGGTTCTTCCTTATCTTACTGTTTTCATCTTAGGTCTTTATCTTTACTGTGCTTGCACAACACAGTTCTCCTTTCAGTTTCTGGACAGCTGAGTTCCCTCAGCCTTGGGGAGCAAAGGACTGAAAGCTTCTTTCATATCTCACAAACAGTGTTATATTAGATGCCATGAAGAAACCTTCCAGTACTAAGGTTTGACTCCCAGCTCGGTATAGTTCAAGTTGAAAAATACGGCCGGGCGCGGTGGCTCAAGCCTGTAATCCCAGCACTTTGGGAGGCCGAGACGGGCGGATCATGAGGTCAGGAGATCGAGACCATCCTGGCTAACACGGTGAAACCCCGTCTCTACTAAAAAATACAAAAAACTAGCCGGGCGAGGTGGCGGGCGCCTGTAGTCCCAGCTACTCGGGAGGCTGAGGCAGGAGAATGGCGCAAACCCGGGAGGCGGAGCTTGCAGTGAGCTGAGATCCGGCCACTGCGCTCCAGCCCGGGCGACAGCGCGAGACTCCGTCTCAAAAAAAAAATAAAAATAAAAAAAATAAAAAATAAAAAAAAATAAAATAGAAAAATACTATTTTCACATTCATATATATTATCTAATAACACAGTATGACAGAAGTAAGCTGAAGTCTTCTCATCCTTTGCTTTTCAGCGTGAGAGTAGCTTCTTGGGAACTAGTTTTGTTACCAGCTTTTGAATATTCTCAGTAATCATGTTTGCGGAATTATTGTTTGTGAGTATGTGTTAATACCCTTCTTTCACAAGCATATCTGTTCATTCATTTTGGGTGAGATGGGTGGTGGCCTGAGCACACTGTGGTTTCTGTTCTCCCCCAACACAATCCTGTGATAATAAATCATTTAATATGGAGGTATAGACCAAGTGGAGCCTTTTGGCAAGTTCTAAACATACCCTTCTGGAGGAAATGATGCAGAATGAGAACTGTTAGTCGTTGTTTCTGCATGTTCACAGGACAAGGGATGATCAAGACTCCTCCTAGTGGTCTGGAAGTAGGTCTGATTCTCTGGTACCACCTCCTCCTTTGCTTGAGAGAGCCAAGTGGCTCTCTCTGTATATCAGAAGCAGTTATCTTGACATGTTGACTGCGTAACGCCTTGGGAAGAGTCTGGTGTCCTGCAGAGGCTACTGTCCTGACAAGAACCTAGAAGCTTCCCTCTCTACCTGTCAGTTAGGGGGCTCACTGGGGAAGAAATCACAATAATTTGTCCTGCCCACGTGCTGAGAAAATTCGTATCCTGTGATGGTAAAGATTACATTTCTGGACCTGCCCAAACGGCTTCCTAATAAGGAAAATTTAGTGGAAATGTAATAATATATTATTAAGAAGAGAAAGGCACAAAACTGTTAGCATTTTTTCCTTACCTTATTCCTAAAAAAGATAAGCTAGCATTGTTTAAGGGTAATTTATAGAATTATGCTTTATCATTCCAAACAAAAATAGTATGAAGAGAAGTACGTTGAGTGGGGTGGTTGGAAATAGACAAACTGAGTCTGTGGGGAACAGAGGAAAAGACGAGTGCACTGCTGGCATGCAGCACTCCAGATCAAAGGATGGTTGTGGGTGGCAAGTCTGCCATTAGGGGCAGGGAGTCTTTGTATGAGACACCTCTAAGATCATCGGAGGGAGCAACATGCGAGAAAAGGATAACAGGAAACCAGTGTGTTGTGCTAAGAAATAGAAAAATTAAAACACATAGACAAAAGCCTCTTTTGACTTTATGATACCATTTTAACCTGAAAGTTTCATATGATTCTATGGAACAGGGCCCCAATAGACAGTTTCTTACCAACTTCCAAAAAAGGGCTCGAAGTAAAACTAAACTTGTTCAAATAAAGCAATGAGAGTACTTTGTTCCCTAGTGTTATAGACTTATAATTTGTATAATTGTTTTTAGGGAAAAGAGTGAAAAACTATAATACAACTTTTTCAGAGATTAAAAAATATTGCAATGACATGTCATAACGAAGAGCTTCTGAAAAATAACCATAATGGAAAATATTATGTGGCTACTACTGAAAAAATCTAGAGCTGGGGTCAGCAGACTACTACTTTTACAGGCCAAATCTAGCCTGTCACCTCTTTTTGTAAATAAATTTTTACCAAAACACAGCTACACTCATTTAATTTCATGTGCTCTGCAGCTGTTTTCATACTACAATAGCAGAGTTGAGTCAGAGCTACAGTGGAGACTGTGTGTTGGCCTGCAAAGTTATAATATTTACTGTCTAGCGTGGACCTCTGAAGAGGATAAAGTGGAGTTATTTTCCAATGCAGTGAAATTATAAAGATAAATAAATGATGGAAATCTAAGAAACTTGGAAGATTATAGACACACACATGTTCAAATGTCCACGTAGCGGGAACTCCAAAAATAGCAAAATGAACACATGGAGCAATTACCAAGGAACTAATAGAATAAAACTTTTCTAAGATACAGAAAACCTGTGTTTATATAACCATGTGCCATGCAGAATTACTGGAAGGAAAATCCAACAAACTTGGAGATGGTCTAATGTCATTGCTGAATTCTAAGGATGAAGAACATAAATATTTCAAAGGAAAAGCGTCAGGGTTTGTTTTTTGTTTGTTTCTATCTATGACAATATAAATGAGAGGACAGTAAAACAATGTATATTGACTTCTAAAATATATGCATGGGCTCGCCACTTCTGTGGTTTTATAGAAAGTCATGTTCTCATCCTGAGGAGCTGTCATATGGGACTGTCTTGATAAAATTTTAAGGTTTATCAGGATCATGCCAGCATTTCAATAGATAAGGACATAAAAGTGTTATGTTCAAAGGCAGCTAATCCAACAAGTTTATAACTCTGCTTGGTTTTGAGGGAAGCTGCAATTTCAGAAGTATACTATTGACAGTAAACTGGGATAAGCAGAGCCCCATAGTAGGACACTAACCCAACGTGGCCAGTGATCTCTTCCAATAAGATTATCTCATCTAAGGGGTCATGGAAAACAGGACAGATCTAAGATAATCTTCAAAGCTGGAAAACTCTTAATCAGTGAAACACAGCAGTATGGTAAGGAAATAATCTCTAAGGGGTAGATGAGCATATTGGTCAGAACAGGAATACCAGCTGGTGGCTAAAGTTACTGGAAAATGGGGCTTAGCACCCCATGAGAAGTGGTTGTCAAAAACTAGGAAGAGTCAGCCAGGCGTAGTGGTGCATGCCTGTAATCCTGGCTACTTGGAAGCTGAGGTGTGAGGATTGCTTGAGCCCAGTTAAAGACCAGCCTGGGTAACATAGCAAGATTCCATCTCAAAAAAAAAAAACTGTAGGAAGAGTCAGTAAGACCCAGCCTAGTTAGTCAACAGGTTTAGTTCCCAGCTAGAACAGACCAGAGAAGAGTGAATGGACTAGGACCAAATCTGTCACCCTCTTACCCTCCAACCCCCACCCCCACCAGCTAAAATGACAGATTCATTTTAGCATAGAAAGGTAATTGGGTATAATCTGAATAATAACCATCAAGATATAATACATCTGTTAATGGTGAAAGCCAGAAAGTAATGTTTAAAATCAGACATTGTATTCAAACCGCACTGTGTTCTTTGCCAACAATAATAGTGACTGAGGGTAATTTTACATTTGTCTCATTATTTAAAAAGAATAAAACTTAAGTGGTTATTATACAAATATGTGGATGACCAAAACTAGACCAAATAATCTATTAAGTTCTAAATAATAACCTGTTATTTTGCTTTACTAATCATTTTTGTGCATATATTTCTCTTGGGGATTTCATCATAAGAAGTAATTGTGGCAGTCTAAGAGCTAGGCATTTTTGTGTTCTTGGCAAATTTATTAAACAGTCATAGTATAAAAATCCATCAGGATAAGTTGTTCATAAGATCACTTTCTCAACACATTGTTCCCCCATATTTTAGAAAAGGCGACGACGGATTGACAGAAGTATGATTGGAGAGCCCACAAACTTTGTGCACACGGCTCATGTTGGATCAGGAGACCTGTTCAGTGGAATGAATTCAGTAAGTATGTTGGTGGGACATGCAGGTAGGGCATTGGGGCATAGTCATGTGAAACCTGTGTGATAGGCACAAATATTTTTAATAGCATTATGCTAAATGAATTTGTATACAGTGAATGTAAATACATAATATGAGCATAGAAGAGAGAGAAGCAAACTAATGATGAAAAATCTCTTCGAATTTGCTGGGTTATGTATTTGTTTCTGTTTCTTGTACGCAATTCTTCATAGCTGCCTTTGTCCCGAATAAATACTTTGAAACTTGAAAGGATTTGGTTCAGAGTAGAGGTTAATATCCTATTGATTCTCTTGCTCCCACCAAAGAGACTTGGATATCAGCCTTTTAAATAATAATCTCTTTTCGTTCTTTTAAGTTCAGTTAGTTGCCTTTTGCACACATTTTTATTGCTTTACTTTATAAACCAGTGGTCTCCAACATTTTTGGCACCAGGGACCGGTTTCGTGGAAGACAGTTTTTCCATGGGGGAAATGGTTTTAGGGTGAAACTGTTCCACTTCAGTTCATCAGGCATTAGATTCTCATAAGGAGTCCGCAACCTAGATCCTCACATGTGCAGTTCACGACAGGGTTCGTGCTCCTATGAGAATCTCGTGCCATCACGGATGTGACAGGAGGCGGAGCTCAGGCAGTGATGCTCACTTGCAGCTGCTCACCTCCTGTTGTGCAGCCCGGTTCCTAACAGGCCACTTCCGGTTTTGGGCCCCCTGTTACAAACTATTCATCTTTACCTGATAATATTAGAATGTTGGTGATTTATTTACTCTAAGTTCTCATGCAGTAAGCATAGGATTAGAATTTTCACATATCCCTTTAGGTCAAGGCAGTAAAAATTTGTCACATTTGCCAGCAGGATGTGAAGAATCAGAAATAAGATTTATTCGCTGTCTTTTAATAGAGGTTTCAGTGAGTTTCAGAATAGGCTTTAGATTACTCAGCTGATCTTTTAGTCTTTAATTTTTGTTGAAGAGAAAACCAGAATGCATTATAATAGAAGCAGCACCAAATGCAGGTTCTTGTCAGAGTTGTTCCTCACATTTGCCTTAAAGCAAGCCACTAAGGATCAACAGACTGACTCTTTTCCCCATTCCTAAAGTAAACAAGTATCTAAATGATCCCTAAAGTGTTCAGAACCAGAAAGTCAATAAGGGTTTTATAAACAAAATTATGATCCACTGTATACCAACTTACTAGACGGCACTAACAAAAGACTTAACAGGGACTTTAAAAATAGGTAGATGGGTATCCTGGATACAGCAACGACGTTTGTCATTGCAGTTACTAGGTAAGCAAAGGAGTGACATTTGAACCTTCCTGGAAAGGAAACAGCTTGTTTGTTTTAAATCTGTAGGAAAAGTACTTTGTTTCACTTGACTGCTTTGTGGAAATGCAAGAGATATCATGTCGCCGTCAAAATAGTCAGTAGCTTTGTTTTCTGCATCGACATAGTATAGAAAGACTAACTGGGGCCCTATTACTTTTATTAATATGGTTACTATAATAAAGAGAATGGGTAGTTTCAAATTTATTATATATAATGAATTTTAATTTCTCTCTCATCAACAGATGATGTCTCTGCCACCTCAGATTTTTTAAAAATCCAACTATAAGGCCAGACATGGTGGCTCCCTCCTATAATCCCAGTACTTTGGGAGGCTGAGGCAGGTGGATCACCTGAGCTCAGGAGTTCAAGACCAGCCTGAGCAATGTAGTGAAACCCTGTCTCTACCAAAAATACAAAAAAAAATAGCTGAGTGAAGTAATATGCACCTGTGATTCCAGCTGTTTGGGAGGCTGAGAGGGGAGGATTGCTTGAACCTGGGAGCGGGAGGTTGCAGTGAGCTGAGATCATGCCTCTGAACTCCAGCCTGGGTGACTGAGACCCCATCTCAAAGAAATAAATCCAACTGTATAGGAGGAATTAAATTTCAGTTTGTAGCATTTAAAATCTTATGTACATTTCCGAATTTCCTTTAAGATTCCTCCCTGAATGAAAAACCTATCATTGGCATATTATCTTTTTTGCTTCTCATAGTTTAGGTAGAACTTTAGGACTGTACTTTGCAGGGCTTGCACACCTGCCTCTTAATCTTAGATGCAGGATCGAGATGGGACTTTAGCTGTGGTGGAGTTTCTACCTTGTTGTCTCCAGGCAGCCTTCTCTGTTACTGAAGTGGACTTTTTATGAAGTATTTCAGCTCTTTAGAGCTAAATGTGTTTCCCAAATGTGTTCTGTAGTTAATTCATATTTGAGTTTGCTCTCTCTAAAGCAATATTCAGCATCCATCCCACCATCACAGAGCACTGTGTTCTTGCTGCTCGGAACAGTGTTGTTCAGTTAGTAACTTTTTTTTGAGATGTAGTCTTGCTTTGTCACCCAGGCTGGAGTGCAGTGGCACAAACTCAGCTCACTGCAACCTCTGCCTCCTAGGTTCAAGCGATTCTCCTGTCTTAGCCTCCCGAGTAGCTGGCATTACAGGCATGCACCACCATGCCTGGCTAATTTTTTGTATTTTGAGTAGAGTGGGGTTTCACCATGTTGGCCAGGCTGGTCTCAAACTCCTGACCTCCAGTGATCCACCCACCTCGGCCTCCCAAAGTGTTGGGATTACAGGTGTGAGCCACCGCGCCTGGCCAAGTAACTTTTCTTGAAAGTATCATGGATAGTTCTGATTTGATGAGCCTGACTCTGTTAGAAAAATTATGTTCTCCTATGCAGTGCAATAATAAATAAGAAAAAACCATAAATAGACATGCTGTTTATTCAAAGAAAAGAACTGAGCAGCTAGTATTAGGAACGTGGCTTGACGCATATGCAACAGGCTTGCCTGAACTATATTATTGAATGGTTAGATGACTTGTAATTTCTTTTTTCCTCTAAATATATTCTTATTCTACCTTTACTTAGTGTCAAAGACTTTCTTTTCTACTACCTTTTTTCCAGAAAAGATTTGTTACTTGTTCATTAATATCCTGTGTTAAAATATTGTATATTCACAGTCACAATAATACATTCAATCTCAGCACTGAAAGATTACTTATTAAAGTTACTTAATAAAGGTTACTTAAGATAAACCTAACCTTTTAAATTGAAGAATTGACTTTTGGAGAAAAAATTACTTTTTTTCTTTCTTAGAATCTGCATGGCATTATTGAATGCATAGTGTAAAAACAAAGATTTTTTGTTTGGTTGGTTTGGGGTTTTTTTTTTTTTTATGCAAAGACTCTTTCTGTTGCCCAGGCTGGAGTACTCACTGCAGCTTTGACCTCCTAGGCTCAATCGATCCTCCTGCCTCAGCCTCCCCCAGTAGCTGGGACTACAGGCCTGCACCACCATGCCCAGCTAGTTTTTGTATTTTTTTTTGTTTTGTTTTTTTCCTTTTTTCTTTTTTTTTGAGACAGAGTCTTGCTCTGTCACCCAGGCTGGAGTGTAGTGGCCAGATCTCAGCTCACTGCAAGCTCCGCCTCCCAGGTTCACGCCGTTCTCCTGCCTCAGCCTCCCGAGTAGCTGGGACTACAGGCGCCCGCCACCTCGCCCGGCTAATGTTTTGTATTTTTTTTAGTAGAGACGGGGTTTCACTGTGTTGGCCAGGATGGTTTTGTATTTTTTTTGTAGAGACGGGGTTTCACTATGTTGTCCAGGCTGGCCTCAAACTCGTGGGCTCAAGTTATCTGCCTACTTCAAACTCCCTAAGTGTTGGGATTACAGCTGTGAGCCACTGCACCTGGTCATAAAGATGTTTTTTAAGACAGACCTAAAATATCTATAAAAGCTAACATGCCATGTTAGGTGGAAAGTTATTTGGTATCAGGTTTGTGCCGCATAACTTTAATGTTAGTTACCATAAAGGGGCAGATGATGAATTTGAACTAGTGTCATATGACAGGCCCTAGCCTCTTCACACTGCATTAACTGAGGAAGTTTATGTTTAAAAAACAAACAAAAATAAATACAGATTTCTTCTTACACTCTTACCTGAAGTAGTCATTTTATTAATGTGACTATTACAGCAATACCTTATAATGTGATGTCATACAAATAAGATGTTCCATGTAAGTAAATTTCCAGGTTAGTAAAAATGTCCCCATTTAAGAGCCAAACACATATTCTCATTTAGACTCTTTTGATCTAAATAAGCTATGCATTTTCTGTTTTGCCATTATCTTCTATTATAGTATATATTGAAACCTGACTGACTCCAAAAATGAGTTAGACAAGTCTTTCTTTAAATATATTGACTCAGAATCACCAGTGGAAAGCACCTCACCCTTCATGCCTTATATTACAGTAGGTGCTCAGTAAGTATTTGATAAGCAGATGACTGATAAATGAATGATGCCCTGGTTCCCTCCAAATCATGGAATTGTGCAGGGCCCTTTGAGCTGATTCCATGAAATGCTCAACCACATTGCCAGTGCTCCCTCTCCACTGTTAGGCCATCATCTCCAAAATCGTATTGCTTGTGTTCCTTCTTCTAGCATTCTAGCCTGACTCTCCAGTTCTCTGCTTCCAGACTGCTAATTTATATGAACTAAGATTAGAATAATAATGATATACTAAAAGTACTTCACAGTTTGCAAATGACTTTATGTGCCTTTGTTTCAGCAAAAAGAAAATATCCCGGCTTTTGTACATCTTGCAGTCTATCAGGAAACAGCCCTGTAATGTGGTCGGGAGAGATTACCATCTTAACCCTTTTACAAATAAGAAGTCTGATACTCAGAGAGGATAGTTTACCCAGTTACAATATTAATAAATAAACTGGGACTATCTGTCTTTGGATTCTTTGATTCTTTTTTACTTTATCAGGCTATGTTAACATGGTACATTTTATGACACAGACTTTTAAGATTTATCTTTGGTTGGTCCAGTTTTATTCACGCTTATTTTCTTGGTTTTGATTCTTTACTAGGTAATTGAGGTGATTATATATGTGAGATATCTGTAAATTAAGATACTTGAGGTTGAGAAACAAAGTGGAGTTGATCGGCCGGGCGCGGTGGCTCATGTCTATAATCCCAGCACTTTGAGAGGCCGAGGCAGTCGGATCACTTGAGGTCAGGAGTTCAAGACCAGCCTGGCCAACATGGTGAAACCTAAAAATAGAAAAATTAGTTGAGCATGGTGATGTGTGCGTGTAATCTCAGCTACTAGAGAGGCTGAGGCAGGAGAATCACTTGAACTGGGGAGGTGGAGGTTGCAGTGAGCTGAGATGACGCCACTGCACTCCAGCCTGGACAACAGAGCAAGACTGTCTTAAAAAAAAAAAAAAAAGTGGAGTTGATCTATATATTTTTGACTATTTTTCAGATGTTACCAAGTGCCTTGTGAATTACAAACTGACTCGTAATTTGGAAATAGAGAAAACAGGGGTTTTTGCAAAAAATGTTTCAGTTGCTAGCCTGTTTGTCCTTATAACCAGAAAATGTTTGTCTATAAAAAGGTTTTTTTTCTATAAAAGTACCCTTCTGAAAAAAGCAGCTCAGATAAAAATCTGGGAAAAGAATTACTTAGTTGCACCGGACCTAGTTCCTGACTTCCATTTTGTTTTATTTTTGTCTTGTTTTAGGTTAGCTCCATTCAGAACCAAATGCAGTCCAAGGGAGGCTACGGAGGTGGAATGCCTGCCAATGTGCAGATGCAGCTCGTGGATACGAAGGCGGGATAGCCCTGGTCCTTTCTCCAGTGAGTACTCGGGGGTCTGGACCTGAAGGCCAGACATGGCCAGGCCAATAGTAGTAAATATATATATATATATTTATATATAAAATGTTTTAATTGTGAATTTACTGGGAAAGGCAAAATTACTCAGCTAAGTGTCGTTTCTGCACTTTGAATCTAAGTTTTAGGTTCTTTTCCTTACTTTAAAACATCTGGTTGGGGAGGATTCTGATGACAAGATGCTTCTTATGTGTCCTTTAAACAGGAGTGAAATTATTATTTTGAGTATTGAGGCTGAGCCTGGTGGCTCACTCTTGTAATCCCAGCACTTTGGGAGGCCTAAGTGGGGATCACCTGAGGCCAGGAATTGGAGACTAGCCTGGCCAACATGGTGCAACCCCATCTCTACTAAAAATACAAAAATTAGCTGGGGGTGGTGGTGCATGCCTGTAATCCCAGCTACTCGGGAGGCTGAGGCACGAGAATTGCTTGAACCTGGGAGGCAGGGGTTGCAGTCAGCTGAGAATGCGCCACTGCACTCCAGCCTGGGTGACAGAGCAAGACCCTGTCTCAAAAAAGTATTGATACTAAAGATAATCTCATGGGTAATAATTTTATAGTTAACACTTCATTGTTTATAAAATTTTCAGATTAATTAAAAAGCCTACTTTGAAAAAGGATAAACCCTGAAAATACAGAAATAATTTGAAGTTTTTTTTTTGTTTTATAGGGTTATTGTGAATTTCTGTATTTTCTCTGTCCACTATTCTGTAATTTTTTTTTGTCCTGTGATTGCGTTTCTTTTATTTTGAATTACAAAAAAGAAGTGTGATGGCACCTTGTCTACCCTGTCGTGATTATTCCAGTGAGATGTTACTGTTCTGCTCTGAAGAAGATACTGTCAGACGAATCCTGCATTTCCTTCAGCTGGCCTGCATGCCTTTGGAGTCATGGACAGAGTTCTTTGGATTGTCACTGAATTTTCAATGTTTAATCAGTATGGATCTGATCTTCGCATGATCTTTTTTGTGAATGCTAACACCATTTTGCAGTTTTTTTTTTTTTTCTATTTTAAACATTTTTCTTTTCACTGCCGACCCCCTGCCTTACGATTTTATTGGAAAGCAAGGACCTGCTATTATTTGTTAATTTGCCATCATTTATGTATATTTTGGAAGGTATGAGACCCACAAGCACAATGATCATTTTTGTTTGAAACTTCAGCAGAATAGGTATCTGCATGCTTTATGAAGTTGCTTCGGTGAGAGCTCATGGGATGCCAGAAATGAACATTTCTTTGCTGCCATGGGCTGATGATGCTGCTATTAGATAAAGTTTAGCTGTGGCACCAAGTCACATCATTTTCATTGAAAAAGATTACTTGTAGCTTTAGAAGTATGACCTTTTGGTCTGTTTGATTAGAATTGCAATAAAAGAAAAGCTTGCATTCATAAGGCATTCATTCTGTTGTAAATGTTCAATATATATTTATTTTGAGAGCAAGGACCTGTGGTTGTAAACAGGTGTGGTCACGTATCTGAGTGTTGTGGTCATACTCTCATCCAGTCCGATCCTGAGCATCTTCATCTTATTAGCTGTCCGTTTCTTTCTGCACTCATTCTTTTATTTTTACTTCTTTTTAATGTTATGGTATCCAGTTGTTTCCAGTAGCAGTTTCTTGAACTTCTGGCCTGTACTACTAACTGCAGAGACCTCCACAGTCACTGGCCTTTCTGTGCCCTACATATTTTAGGGGCCACGTCAGTTGGTAAGAGCAACATACATACTGACCTGGCTGAATTATTGCCAGTGAAAACAACCTGTACGAAGCCTTTGCTCAGGTTCTAAAATATGTTTGTCCTTGCACAAATTTTGTATGTTTCAGATATTTCTGTAAAGCTTTCTTCTTTTCTGTTAGAGTGTGGTGTTAAGCCAGAGTCAGTGGTCTTGTCCTCATTAAACTGTTTTAATCCTGTGTCCAATTCAAGCCTACCTAACTACATTTGGTAGGATTAACATTTCATGTAACAAATGGGGCTTAATTAAAAACTTTAGATAACTTTGAATAAAGGAACAGGGATCACTTTATCTTCTGCCTTCATTTACCTTAGTCCCAGATTCTTGCAAAACAGGCAACTGAACAAACATTAGGTTAATGTAGCTAAAACGTGAAAGCATTTCTCCTCCACTTTCTAAAATTTAATTTACCCAGTACAGTGGGGCACCAGACTACTTGATCTTTGTATTTTGCAGTTTTGAGCCTTTGTGTCAATCCCAGGCACAGAGAGGATCTGCCAAGGAAAAACATTTGCATCTTCAGAGTAGACATTTTGCAGTTTAGTAACTTCTAAAGTTGAATTTATCCATTGTCACTGATTCACCAAGTGGATGTCGCATTGTGGAATTTTCCTGAGTACCGTTGTCATTCTGCTCAGCCAGGCACGATCAGTTTCTTGGCCAGGGACATTGCTGTGTGCAAGCTCTTCTTTAGAAGGGAGATTGGGTTTTCTTGGCGTTATCAGCACTCATGCTATTTAGTCTACTTCTATTTTGACTCTTTAAATTAGTACAGTTTTTCTACTTGTCATATAACTCCTGGAACAACAATACGGGAAGCCGTGATCCTTGTCCCCGACTCATGATTTTATTCTTTTTCCAAATCGCTGTTTTGTTTTGTTTTTTTGCTGCTCCAACGACCAGCGTGTGTTGGATCGGATCACCATGGTAAGCCAAAAGTGGACTTGTCAGCCTATAACTACTCTGCAGCTGCCACTAACTCTACAGGCACAGTAACTACACTTTATACAGGAGCACATGCCAAAGTGCCTGGGAGGTGCCGATAACATCAAGAAAATTACAAAAAAAGATACGGTATTAACCTTGGACATAATTTTTCTTTCTTTTTTTTTTTTTTTTTTTTTTTTTTTTTTAGGGAGGCAGCTTTCCCACATTTATAAATGGGGTTGTAAATCTCAAGAGGTCATTTGTTCCCCATAGCAGCATATCTCATTTTTAAATTGAAGCTAATTAAATAGGATTTTACTACTCAACATTCATTATACTGTTAATCTTTGCTGAAATACATGCTAACAAATGTTAAGCAAGGGAAACTGAAGATTGAATCACATGGATTCTGTTAGCAGTGTTCTGCTTTCTGTAAAAAGAGGTACTTTCCCATGATGGAGGCATGAAGTGGTGCCAATAAGCATAGAGTGGAAATGTTGACTTTAGTTCACATTGGGTTTAGCATTTCCAGTGCAGCATTATCAGTGGGCCTTTAAAAATACTTTGGAGTACATTAGCTTTCACTTTGTTGTTAAGTTATAGCAGACTCATTATAGAGAACAAGTATGCCTTGATTTTGTTTAAAATGACTTCTGCTAAGCACCCAGAAGATAAAATTGACATATTTTTATAATATAAGCATACTTTTTTTGTACATTGTGTTCATTCTTGAATAAAATGAATTCTGTGTTGGCTTGTAGATATTAAAAAGAAAGTATTGATTTTGATTCAATAAATGTTTTCTTTCAATCCTGGTTGGCCTTTCCTTTAAATTTGTTTCATTTTTGTTTTCTTTCAAGGAGGGAATTATTTACCAGAATGCATACGTATATTTTCAGTCATGACTCCTATCATGCAAAAAACAACTTAAAACTTTCTGATTTAAAAGAGAATTTAAATTTCTATCAATCATTGTAGTCTTTAACTTCACAGTTCACCTTTTAATTTAACAAATACTTAGAATGAAAATTAAATGGATAGAAATAGGACTAATAAAACTTTTATGCCTGGTGCAGTGACTCACACCTGTAATCCCAGCTCTTCTGGAGGTGGAGGTGGGTGGATAGTTTGAGAACAGTCAGGACAACATGGTGAAACCCTTTCTGTACATTTTTATTGCCTATCAACCACATGATGTTTAACAAAGGTATCAAGATATCTACACAGTTTTCCATGATGAAGTATCTTGTCCTTATAGTACATGTAGGACTTAATTAAAATGAAATGAAATTAAGAATTCTCCTCATACTTAGCCACATTTGAAGTGCTTAGTAGCATCATGTAGTGATCAGCTACTGTATTAGGAAGTTATAGACTATGTCCCCCATCACAGTTTGGGGAGTTAGTTTATGGTTTGCCTCTAAAATGGTTTACGACACTGGTTCCCACAGGGAGTGATTTTGCTCCCCATGGAGACATTAGAGCAATGTCAGGAGGCAGTTTTGGTTATCACAGCTTGAGGAAGGGGTGGCACAGGATCCTGGGGAGTGGAAAGTAGGGATGCTGCTAAATATCCTGTGATGTACAGGACAGCCCCCACAACAAAGATTTGATCCAAAATGTCATAGTGCCACAGCTAAAACCTGTTTTAAGACGAAGATCTGTATGTCTGCATACTCATCAGATAGAACCTGTTAGGGACGCTTTGTTGCATCAGATCACGTGCACAGGTAAGTGAGGTGTTTTGCTGGTTGAATACTGAGAATAGGTGTTAGGTTTCGTTTTATGAGATTTGCCACAAAACATTCTAAAAACAGAAAAGACAAATATCAGAAAAGAGTATTTAAAAACTTAGCGTAACTTTTGTCCCCATCCCATATCCAAAGATCCTAAAAAGAAATTGGCTTAAAATGAAGTGCTTTGCAAAATAAAATTCTGACAATCCAGTGACATCCCAACTATGGAAAAAGTATCTGAAAAAACTGATGTTGGTAGACCAAGAGCAATTACATTGTGAGCTTATGTTTTCAAAGGATATGCATAAAACATTAAAGGAGGGGCACATAACCACAACAAGACAAATCTATAAAATACAGCGCCAGAGTCTGGAAATTGCTAATATTTATGAAGATGCAAAAATCTACAAAATTGATAAAGACGAAGGAAATTCTGTGACCTCTGCTTAAAGTACACTATTCGCAAACGTAAAAGAAGTCATAGAAATTTTACCTTCTATTTATTGTCTCCATCCAGAATGGTCCAGTAAGAATGAAACCATTAAATGACTCATCTTCATCTGACTTTTTATGTTTTGGCACCTTTAACTTTCGGTTTTTATAATGTTTCTCAGCCTATGAGGGTTTGCCTTTGATACTTTGTCCCAGGATCCCTTGAGCCGAGGAGTTCAAGGTTACAGAGAGCTTGAGCTATGATGGTGCCTCTGCACTTCAGCCTGGGTGACAGAGCAAGACCCTGAATCTTTGAAAAAATAAAAGTGTTTTTCAATGAGCTGCTCCATCTATGCAGGAAGGAAAAAAAAAAACTTTCTTGTAGATACATGCAACCTCTAGGCTCATTTTGACCCCTACCTCATCTTTTTAATGCCCGTCATCTTAATAATGTTCTATCTGGTTTGCCTTTGATGCCTAGAAGAAGAAAAAAACTTCGTCTTTACTAAAGATAAGTTACTCCCTGAATAAGATCAAGTGTTTGATCTGGGACCTTATAAGGATATGCTCAAAGAATGGTGATCTTGGTTTTGAAGAAAACTGATATTTCATCACATTAGAAGGTAATATTATTAGTAGAAAAGTGAAGACGGTGCTTCATTCTAACCTCCACATTTTATATTTTGTAAATCCAAGCTATGGAGTTCATTAGAGCTTTTACTGCTCACTAGAACTCATGGGTTCAGTAGCTTTGGACAGTTAAACGCAGCTGAGAACCTGCCTTGGGGGCCCAGAAAGAATTCTTAGGCTTAGCGGTATGTTTTTTGTTTTGTTTTTCTCCCTTAAAGGAGCAGCAAGCAAGTAACACACTTCTTTCAAAATCTTCACGAGCCTCACCTAGTTACCTATTTCTTACCATTGCTTTAAGTTACATAAACATATTAATCCCTTTTATGTCTGTGTCTTTCAAATAAATGTGTAAGCTGGCAGAGGTCCTTTGCCTTAGACAACACGCTTTCCCCCCAGACCCTCCGCTGCTGGTGTGCTCTCCCGCAGGCCTTCATCTGCTGGGCGCTGCCGCCTCAGGGAGTGTAGAAAACATTTCAGCTGCTGTTTCCGGGTTTCTACAAAAAAGTGTTTCACTTTTCAGAAATACTGCAAAGGAGGTAAAAACTACTCTGCTTCTGTCTTTTGGCAAAACCACCCAGATTCCAAATGGTTTAAGTTCAATCTCTTTCCAATGTCCATAATGTCCATTGTGTCCTATTATAATTTTTCAAAAGTGTATGTAGGTTTTGCTCACCTGATTTTCGTTGCTTGGATAGGTACAGCGTAAGTGTACCTAATAAGTGACTGGACTGTCCCTCTGTAAATGCAGCCACATCCAATCGGTGCACAATGGAATTAAGACCACAGACCATCTAGGCCAATAGCATAAAAAGATCTGCTACTCCTAAAACCAGAAACAGAAACAAGCAGTCCTTTCTCCCTTCTTCCCTCTTTTCAATCTGATATTCCTATAGGAAACTAGTATGATCAACTAGACATTTTAGAAAAATACCAGCTGTGCATGGTGATGCATGTCTGTAGTCTCAGCTACTTTGGAGGGTGAGGCAGAGGGATCACTTGAGCCCAGGAGTTGGGTCCATCCTGGGCTACATAGCAAGACCCTGTCCCTTTTACAAAAAGAATCTAAGGGCCAGACACAGTGGCTCAAGCCTGTCATCCCAGCACTTTGGGAGGTCATGGTGGGCGGATCACAAGGTCAGGAGTTCGAGACCAGCCTGGCCAACATGGTGAAACCCCATCTCTACTAAAAACACAAAGATTGGCCAGGCATAGTGGCACACATCTGTAATTCCAGGTACTCAGGAGGCTGAGGCAGGAGAATCGCTTGAACCCAGGAGGCGGAGGTTGCAGTGAGCCGAGATCGTGCTACTACACTCCAGTCTGGGCGACAGAGTGACACTCCGTCTCAACAACAACAACAACAAAATAATCTAGGAAATACTGGTTCTACTGTGAAGGACACAGTAGAGGGTCAGGCAGTGCAATCTGTGATTAATGGGAGTTTTACAAAAAGAAAGCAAGGAAAACGCTCTTCAGAGGAAAAAGATTTAAAAAAGTCTCTTGAAATTAAAAAAAAATTTGTTTTTACAATTATACTTTCTCACTTCACAGCCCTCAAGGACCTTTTGTTCTGAAGACTCATATATTCAGCTATGGGAAAT